TGCTATTGGCTATTGCAAAGTGAAATAGCCAACAGGAATCTAGCTATGCATTCCTATGGTGGTTTTTTTTTTTTTTTTTTTTTTGCGGGGTCATATTTTTTCATTCATGTGGGTGGGATGTAATATTCCCTAACCGATAGTCTTTGCCATTCTAAACTGGATCAACAACTGTACATACTTTCCGCATCACTTCAAGTAATAAGTAAAATACTTAGCAATTTGAAATAAGAGACTGCATAATCTATCCTGACTTCCACAGTTCACCAGGGACTGGGCAGTATACTTACCAGCACATTTCCCAGGGTTTGGTCGTGATCCTCCCACCAGACCACAAGGGACAGTACAATAAAACATGTTTGGCGAAGTGCAACTCCATGCAAAGCATGGCAAAAGTGATTTTAATAAAGTAAGGTACACCTCTCCAAATATCCACTTTAATTTGTAAACGCAGAGTTCCAGGATCTTAAAAAAAAATAAAAAAGCTTAATAAATGCACGTCGGCAGCAAAACACAAATGTCCATGTATATACAAATCTTTCCACTGGTCCCTGATGCCCTGTAAAAAAAATTTAAAAATACGACTGCATAAAAGGAACACTTTTATGCGCTTATTTGTAACACTTTTATTGCCAGTCACTTGTGTGAGTGAACAGTCTTCAGTTCCCCTGTTGCCGAGTAAAAAATCCCCAGCTCATTCCCTGGTGCAGAGTACCAAGTTATTTTCTGCGGTGTTTGAATTGCTTTTCTTTGTCTATAGCATGGGTCGGCAACCTCGGCACTCCCAACTGGTGGTGAAACTGCAAATGCCATCAAGCCTCTGCCATTAGTCTTGCAATGCCTTATGGGACTTTTAGTTCCACATCAGTTGGGAGAGCCAAAGTTTGTCTACCCTTGGTTTATACCATGGGTAGGCAACCTTGGCACTCTTAACTGTGGTAAAACTACAAATCGTGTGTGCAGGGCAGCCATCAGGGGGGTACGGCCGATACTCATGTAAGGGGCCTGGGGGCCCTTACATGACTATGGGCCGATGGTGAAGGGCGAGGAGGCGAAGGACTGTCCCTAGCAGCGACGCTGCTCGTCTGATGTCGGACTGGCCGGAAGTGATGTCACGTTAGTGATGTCACTTCTGGCCGGTCCTGCGGCAGACGAGGCCACGTGTGCAGGTAAGAGGAGCTAGGAAGGAAAGGAGGGAGGGATGCAGCCCTGACCAGCCCACCTGAGACACCTTCAGAGCCCACCATAGACAGTCCCAGATGGGCTGTGCAGCATCTATGGTGGGCTCATTTCTGACGGCTGCCCTGCGTGTGTGTGTGGCCTACCCCTGGTCTGTGTAAATCCTTATTCTCTCTAGTAGGAACATAAAAAAACAGATTCTATAATTATTTCTGTTATTCCACTGATGTCATTTTATAGAACATTATGGTCATTACCTAATAAGTAGAGGAAGGAAAATATGAAGCTATTGGTCAAAGTAACCTAATAGATGCCATTCATTCTTGTGGGTTTAAAATGGAGGTATAGTCTGACTAGTTTTCCTAAAAACAACTTTATAAAATACTGTTGATGGCAAACATCTATTTAATAATATAAATCCATATCCGCAAGGGGATAGCCATGGCTAAAGTCTCACTTTTTGTTATTTAACTTAAAGAATCCAATGTGGCTAAAATATGTAGCTATTGAGTGAGCAATGGAGATCTGTAGAATGCAGCTGTGTTTGTTAACCTTAAGGGATCTGCATGTTACTTTTGCCTTTCTGACATCCTCCAGATTTTAATCACATGTTGTACTTTTGCACACTTTTTTATTTTTATTTTTTGGGAGTGTTTTTTAAATGTTTTATAGTGTTTTTTTCTACTTTTCTCTAATGGGAGGATTAACTCCACATCTACTTTTACTCAAAAAAAATCCTGTAAGGGGATTTGTGTATATTTTTTTTTTTCACATTGTTTCAGTTCCAGATTTTTGGAAGGGAAACATTCCAGTGCAACAAGCTATGCTCTTTGTCTCACATTATGTTTTGTGTTCTACTAATATTTCTGTGACCTCTGAGAGAGTCAGACAATTCCACTTTTGGAGCCCTTTCACAGGCAGATCTAGTGGGAAGCCCAATGTTAGCCCATAGGCAGATGGAGCCAAACGGACATGCGTCAGTTTTACAGCAGTCTACCCCCGACCCCAGCCATGTCCAGAAAACCGAATGTAACAGTGTTGCATTTTTGATTGAGACCGATCCTTGGTCATCTAAATCCAACTTCCCATAGATCTAACATGGGTCCAGTTTGTTCAGGTTTTTCCTCCATCTTGCGATGGAGAAAACAAAACTTAACTGACAGACACAGATGTCACAACAAAGAGCACAGTCTAAGGCTTTACGAGAGGAGTTGTGATACTGCAGGGGGTACAGCAGTGTCCAGTAGCAGGACAGTTTTAATAAAGGATGTGGGGGTGCGGTGATTGGAAGTAATATATTGTGAGGTGGTTTAGATGCATGTTGTTCTTGCACCAAGTTTTTTTTCTTCTCATATTTAAAATAAATAAACCCCAAAATACTAACTATAAAACAATAGCCCAACTAGGGAAGCGTGGTTGCAAATATTAAAATGGCAGTAAACTCAAGAGTTAAATCTAAAAGGAAGTAGTACCCTAACTATTAACAAAAATGTATCTTATTTGTGTATAACTCGGCTGTAGATCCTCAATTCATGTCTGAATTCATGCTGACACTGTCCTTCCTTCTGGAGGGTGGCTACTTTTGTTCCCCATGGTCCCTGTGTGTGTGTAAAGTAGTGACCACTCCCATGATGGGCTACATTCTCAATACAAATTTAGTAAATGAAACATGAGATTGTAGTCTATCATGGGAGCATCATAGTTTCATGGTCTCTTCGAACCCATGATAGCGGTGAATCCGAACCTTATCCCTAAACAGCTGTTATTAACTACCTCCCGGCCAGCCGCTGTGTATACACGGCCGGCCGGGAGCTTCTTGGATGTAACTGGGTGTGTATACACGTCCTGTTACATCCGCCCGCTCGGGCGGGAAATCCCCGCTATTTGAAAAGAGGCAGCGACGACCGTTAGGGAATACATGTCAAAGTACCGCAGTGCTGAACACTGAAAAATGGCCTGGCCAGGAAGGGGGTCTAAACACCTGGTCTTCAAGCGGTTAAAGCAAGATTTTTAAAGCTCCTCACATGAGATATAGGTGGGTTTGTTGACGCTTGATGTATCATCAGTCAGATTCAAACTACCAAGGCTGGTTCAAAGCTACTTGGTGGTTGTGGGAAACTTTGATTTCTTTTGCCCAGCAAGTAGGAAACAAAAATTCTCAGATTAACACATTGCTGACAAAAAGCATTGGGGTGGAGTACAGTACAACTGTGTGGATGAGATTCTGAAGCCCTTAGGCTATGCTCCTTGAATGCATTTCTTCGTGGCTTCATTTTCAGATTTGCCTGGAGTGTACATTTTTTGTTTTAAAGCAGTGTTGCCTAAATATGTGGTATGAAGTGCAATGGCCTGAGATTAAGAGAACTTGGCAGTAATATTTCTATTTCCCCCATTCTGGGGAGCCTGCCCTCTAACTGACTATATTCTGCCTGCGCAGAGATGGTATTAGAAGGGTTCTTCACTTAAATACCCATCTAGACCAAACCTGAACTGTGTTGGATACAAGTTACATAAACTAAGCAAAATCTAGTTCGTCAGATAAAGCTGAGCCATATCTTGTGTAGGTTGCTGTATCTTAAACCATCTAACCTTAGTTCAATATGAAGAATGTCCGTGCAAAATGAAATAAGCAAAGGTACACATGGTTCCCAGCAGAATGTACAGAATAAAGCATGCGACAAGTGAATATGAATTTTCTAAGTTCAGGTACTACAGTCATTTTCTTTGTAAAAGTGTAAGGTATATCCAAGCACTACATTGATGTGTCTTCTCTTGTACAGGAAAAAAGAAATCTAAATTCCAGGCATTCAAAAAATTCTTTGTCAAAAAGAAGAGGAAGGAATCTCCAGCTCCAAGCAGAGAAAGCAACCTAAAGCCCAGCCAGTCAAGCAGTGATGTCAGTGTGTCTGGAGCCAATGCTTTTCAACCTGTTCATGAATCTGTGTAAGTAAAGACTTTCTTAGTTCCACAAAATTATTCCTTTCATGGGGAAGTCTATGTAGCTAGAAAAACCCTTTTTGTGCGCTGACTTTTACAGTCAATTTGATAAAACAATGTACGAGCTATACGTTTAGCTGATCTGTGCAGATAGATGCAAATATTTCCCCATATTAAAAAGACTATTGGCGCAAGCAATGCAAAGGGCTGAGAAGGTAGTCTGTGCTTACCTTGCCTGGGTGTTCTTTAGACTGGCTTTTAGTAGTTAAATTGTTTGGTTTATTACTTTCATGCTGTCTTGGCTTTCTCTGTGCTGTCCATCCTTCTCTTTTTTTTTTATTTAAATCTTTTTGTTCACTTTTCAAAGGGCCAAAAGCAATATGGGAAGTAAGGCAGTTTCCCATGACAGTGTATTCATTTTTGAGATGGAGAGCTCTACAAAGGAGGATACATCACAGGAAAACACCCCTGGCAAAGTTAAAGCTTTACAGGTATGAATACATTTGATAGTGCTGATGCCTACACAGAGATGCTAATTGAGCAAATTGGTAGCAATAATGAGAACCACCAAGGCTGTATTCAAGCCATGCCCTAACACTCCTCTAACATGGAAGATACAGCCTAATTTGTGGCTAATTGGTGGCATGGGTCTCCCTTACTCTCTATCCACTCACTCATCTGTTTAATTACGCTGTACTCTGATCATTTATTAATAATGAATGAATAATAGTACTGCTCTCAATGATTGTTGTACTATTGAAGCAATATGTCTGAAGTTTTACTGCATATCGCAGTAAACCATAAGAAGAGACAGATGGGAGAAGCTCAGAGTGCCAGATCAGTTAACAGATCAGATCAGTGTCAGATCACTATACAGTGGTTGTATAGTAGGGATGCACAGATGCCGGTTTTTCTGTATCGAGTTAGTACTGATTATTTATTTTCTCCCTGGTACTCGCGAATACGAGTCATTATTACATTATCCATGCTTCCTGATTGCGTCCATGACTGATGATATCCCACCCCCCCAGGCTCCTAATTGGCCTTGTCACAAAGTGACTGGAGCATGGAGCCGGCTTCCTGGCCAATCAGGAAAATGGGTGGGGGAAGAAGAGTCATTACCTGCCCCATGCTTCCTGATTGGCTAGTAAGCCAGCTCCATGCTCCCTGGTGACAAAGGAGCACGAAGCTGGCTTACTGGGCAGCATGTAATGGCTTGCGGCCCGGCTTCCGGATACTGGAAATTCCAGTATTGGGATAGGCATCAGGAGCATTTGGGTGAGTACGAGTACACAAACGATCAGGACAGACTACATTTTTGAGTTTTATCAAACAAAAAACTTTATTTGGTGTATATCCAAACACCACTACAAAAATGAAAACACAAACGACATATAAATTAAAAACGAAATAATCACTGACTGTGAGTCCATTTCATTCTGGGTGGTGATTATTGACTCGAGTTGGTTTATGCACCTTTGAGTCAAGACCCTAGGTTTACTCCCTCTTGGATGTCAGCAAAACCTTCTCGAGGTGAATGATGAAGTACAGGTTGGTTGTATCTATCTTTGTTTGGTATACTCTGTATCGAGTTATTCCTTTTGATTCATACTAGCCTGTATTTAACCTGTGACATTCATAGGATTATATTTGATTGTAGCCCCACTAGGGGGGTTATTAAAGTGGATGGCAAAAGAAAGACAGTGTACATATGTATCCAAACTATCAATTATCCCTTCCTTATGTCCCTGGTCTTATTGATAAGCTTTCACGAGGAGATAGTTCTGAGCACTGCCGTTAAGTCATATAACCATCGGTTTGTGAATTGTTCATGGAACTCGGTAGTAAAGATAGATAGAGATATATATATATATAT